CCCCAAAACCCCAAAACCCCAAAACCCCTTATTTGTTAAGAAATATTGAAAACTAATCAATTTTTTGGACCGACTCTGAAGCTTCTGTAGATTTCAAGATCTGGGCTTCAAACTGAACCAAGAAGGTATCCTTCGAGGACTTATCTGGTGAATGATAGATTCCTCTATTATATCTCTTAAACCCATTGAAAGGATCATTGGAAGTCTGAGGCCTCACTAACTTCTTAATCTTAAGCAGAGATATCTTCCTTTCATTTACTTCTGGTGACTTTGCTCTAATAACCTTCATTTCAGGTTCTTCGAATATGTTCAGATTCTTAATAGGGAAGGCTATAAAATACACCCAAAGATCATACCGATATCTAGCATTTCGTCTTTATTGAATCTCTTCATGATCTTATTACTCTGGTCTGTGTCTGTATCTATAAACTAACCCGTGGCAGTTACATATGTCCGACTTCATCTTGTTGATGACCTTATTTTTAATGTTGTCCAGGGCTTTTGAGAAGTAAATCTCCCTCTGGTTATGAGTCATTCTTCCTATAAACGTTTTTAGGGTGGCCATACTTTTATCACTCTCTTCTTTGGACTTGAAGACTGAGAATTCTAGTGGGTCATCTGACTTTATCTTCTTGGGCTTAGGCTTCCGGGAGAGTTTGTAATTCTCCTTACTCAGCCTTCGATAAATATTATCATAGTTCAGCATCATACGATTTCCTGTTGATTAATTATGAATAAATTACTTTTCTTTTCGTTAATTCTCTTGAGGATCTGAGCTGTTGTACTGGTAATGAGGTTTCTGCTCTTCTTTTTCTTATACAAATTCTGGCTCATCTTTGATTTCTTGATCGCTTTCACTACAAAGAGCAAGTTAAACTGAATAATGGAAGAGGAATGAGAGAGATAGAGTAATTCTAGTCCAACTTACGTGCATCTTCAAGGTTCATTGTCTTTAGCTCCTCTTGGGAATTCACACAGGAATTATTTAGTATTCCTGAGAACCTCGCTTATATCAACATCATTCAAGTTCCTTTCACTAAATTTTAGACAAAGGTGTGTTACCTTCTGAACTGTTCAAAGTCAAATAGGAGGAGGTTTTCTAGAGATTATTGAGAAATCCCCAAGTATAAACCCTCTAAGACAACCCTACATTACAAAACAAGTCAAATTCTTACTTTTATTTGGTCTTACAGTTCTCCCGAGCAGTGGCGATCCCCTCTCGAGCCTTAATCTGGGTCTTCCGGCTATGTCTGATTGGTCTTATCGAGGAAATATTAGGAGAAAGCGCTTCTTTGATTACCCTATCAAGCATCTTGGGACTATCAATAATTTTATTTCTAAGTGGGGTTTTGGGGTTTTGGGGTTTTGGGGTTTTGGGG